AGGAATGGTGCGAGATGGTAGGAGGTCCTGTGAGAGGCGAGGGCCTCAGTGAGGGAGATGGGGGCTCAGTAAGGGCACCTAGAGCCAGTGAGGGGTGGAGGGTCCCAGTGAGGGGTGGAAGCCTTCATCAGGGGTGTCAGGCCTTGGCGAGGGACGGGGTGCGGCGGGGCTGAGACTTGGGCCTGCTCCTGGCCAGCCCAGAGCCCTGAGGAGGAGCCGGAACTCTTGCTGGATGGTGGTTTCCTGCTGCTGTTCAGTCCCAGTTCCCTTTTGGTGAAATCCCCCAGGCAGCTGGGTCAGCTCAGCCCTCCCGCCGCACCCAGAGCACTTCTCTTTCTTCTCAGCCTTGCCACTCCTCCTCCCTCAGCCTCGGAGGGGGCTTCCTCAAGGGAAGGGAACAGAAGTGAAAGTTCACTGAGCAACTACTGAGTGCCCTGTGCTTTCAGGGGCTTGGCTGCAGTTGATGCGCAGAAGCAACCCCATGAGGTAGAGATTTAGATTCCTATTTTCTAGACGAAGAAACTGCAGCTCAGAGAGAAGTGAACTGACTTGCCCAATGTCTCAAGCTAGTTGTCAGGCAGGGTAGAATTTGAGGCGAAATCTGTCTTCAGATCCCACAGGACGTCCTGTGTCTACATCAAAGCCCTGATGTGGCGTTGGCAAGAATGGACCTCAAAAAAGATGGGTGAGCCTGGGGCTCCTATGTCCAGGAGTAGGGGTGGGAAGGAGGCAGGTTCCCTGCTGGGTGGCCAGCTGCCGTATGGCAGGGGTGGTGTGATCAGTTGGCCAGGAGCTGGGTAGGAAATATGACATTCACCAGTCAGGGACAGCATGACCTCCTGCTCAGGCTTTGGAGAGCATAGCCGGGAACAGAACTCTGGACCCAAATTAATAATCCTGGCTTTGAATCCCCTGTCTGGCTGTTTGACCTCCAGCAAGTGACTTCCCCACTACACACAAGAGGGAGGTAGACTGATAAATGGTCCCTGGGGTCATTCTAGCATATGGTTCTCAGCCTCACTCAGCCACACTGGGCAAGAGCCTTCCCAACAACTGCACAGAAGGTACAGATGCAAAAACTGAGGCTCAGAGGGCTCACATTATTCACCCAAGGCCCCAGAGCTGGGTAAGACCACACAGAGGGAGATGCTGAAGGTGGGAACAACATGGTCCAGGACTGGACCTCAGCTCTGACATCCACAAACTGATTTTGATCCAGATCGGACTTTGGAAGCCAACTCCTGTCAACCAGATGTTCAAGAGGCATGTTTATTAACAGACTCAACTCCCTGCAGTGACCAGAACACTAGTAGCCATTCTCTGAGCTAGTGCCTTTCTGGTGTTAGCAGGCAGCCTAGATCAGCGCTGAGAAAAGAGAGACCTGGATTCAGATTCTAAGAGCTATGAAAATCAGTGATTGCCTGAGAGACCCTGGGCAGGTCACTTCCCCTCACTGGGCTGTAATGAGAATTCAGGGCATGTAGCACAGGGCCTGGCACACTGTAGGTGCTCATTAAGGTACATACATTATTGCTTTCACAAGGACTTCAAAATACAACATTGCTTATGACGGGCTTTGGAGCTAAATTGATTGGGGCTGCATTTTAGCTTCCCCTTACTTGCTATGTAGCTAATCTTAGGGAAGTTATTTAACACCTTTGTGACTCAGCTTCTTTATCTGTAAAATAGGGGTAAAAATAAAACCTACCTCACAGGGTCACTAAATGAGATCAATCGTGGGAATTGCTTGGCACAATGTCAGGCACTGAGTAGGTGTTTAATAAATTAGCATTTTAAAACTAATAGTCATTGCCCCCCCACCCCAGACTTTTAGGAAGTCAAATTACCCTCCTAGGAATTGGTGGCTGGTAGTTGAGATCAGAGCTAGGAGAGGACAGAGTCCTGGGGGACTATTTTCATGCAGATGCCAAGCAGAGAGGACCCTACCTGCTCCGTTTCTCTTTTTCCTATCTTTAGTGCTTTAGTTCTCTGTCTCTGCCTCTCTCTTTCTCCGTCTCTGTCCCTCTCTGTCTCTCTGCCTCTCATTTCTGTCTGTTTGTCTCTTCTCTTTGTTTCTTTCTGGCAGTGATATGCTGGAGCTAGCTAGCTGGTACTGGCCTTGGGAGCTGATTCTGTGAATCTCTTTCCAGCCCAGCGTTCAGGAAGTCACTTCAGTAACTTGAAATCAGCCATGATGGGAATATTTACACCATGGAAATCAGCAACTGCTACAAATCAGGGCCCTTTTCCCCCCCTTTTCTTTTAAGTCAGTGTACCAGGATACCCTCACCCCTGCCCCCGCTGCCTTGCCAGGGCTCTCCCTAAGCCCACAGAGCCTTCTGCCTCCTTCTCGGAAGCTGACAGTTTCTGAACCCGCATTCCACTCCAGGCATGCAGAATTCTGGGCTCCCCTTAGGCTGATTTGAAAACATTGTGGTAACAGGTACCTGTGTATTGTTGGAAGTGGCCGCATTGTATCTAAGTGGGGACCCAAGAGGTTGTATAAGTTTGTATCTCTTACAGAGGGGAGCTCTGTGTGGGTCTGTAACTCAGGGATGGGGGAGCTACATATATCTCTGGGTTTCCCTCTGGGGGCTCTGTGCACCTGTGCATGCTTGCAGGAATGGCTGTAATCATCTGTGTCTGTGACCAGGCAATGGAGAGAAGTGGTTCAGATCCTGGAACCAAACGCCAGGATACATCATCTGTGTGACCTTGGGCAAGTTTCTAAACCTCTCTGTGCCTCAGTTGCCTTATCAATAATTATAATACCTCGTAGAGTTGTCGTGAGAATAAAATGAGGTAATATATATAAAGCGTTGAATGCAGTGGCTGGCACAGAGAAAGTGCTATAAATCCTCCATATGCTATTCTTTGGGAGAGGCTGTGTGCGTGTGTGCGTGTGTGTGTGTGTGTGTGTGTAGATGGGTGAGGGCTGAAGGTGTGTGTGTATTCACAGATGTCTGCATCTGTTAATCTGTACAGAGGAGCTCAGAGTCTCTGTGTGAGGCGCTGCGTGTAGCTGAGGTGACGTGTGTGCGTCTGAGAAGGTGTTGGGAGGGCCGTGTGGACCTGCGTGTAGGGCTCTGTGTTGTTTCAGATGTGCAATGTGTCTTCCTGTGAGAAGACCTCCATTCTCACCCTATAACCTTTGTTTTCATCTTACCCGCATCTGTTTCCTCAGTGCCTGAAATCCCCTCCCTTAGCTCTAGATGCCCCCCACCTCCACATCTATTCTCTCCCTGAGTCTAACCAGCCCTGTAGCCCTTCAGACAGTGGCTTCACCCCAGGGGAGGGGTCCTGAGGTGAAGATCTCGGCAATGGCTTGGTGAACAGGGCCTATTTTGGGGCTCAAACCACAGCCTGCCTCACAGTTCACCACATGGGTGTCACACACACACACACACACACACACACACACACACACACACACACATGGGAGAATGGTTACAGTGGAGCATGAGACAGGCTGGTGGGTCTAGAGTGGGAGTCAGGGCACTGATGTGACAGAGCCATCAGCTAAGCACCTGGATCCAGTGGATCCAGGAAGGCTTCCTGGAAGAGGTGAGTAGTGCTGGGTAGGAGGGGCAGGACCCATAGAGAAGATGGGGGAGGCTATCCATAAAGGGAACTGGACTTGGGATTTGAGAAAAGCAAGACCGGGCACCTGTCCCAAGGATCCTTGAGCCCCTCTGGGAGAAATCAGGGTTCACTGGGTTGGTGAACCCTCTCATATCTCATATCTGAGGAAACCGAGCCCTCTCCCCAGCAGTTCCTCTCTGAGTGTTGCAATGGCAGAGTTTCTGGAGGGGCGTGGAGATCCCTTGCTCAATGACCTGCCTGCCGTGTCACTCAGAGGACACAGCTACCAGGAAAGGCTTGGCTCACTTAGGGGTTCCCCAAGGGACCCTGGTGGCTCTGGCTTCTGACCTGGGCCTTCCCCTGATGTGGGGATAAGAACAAGCTCTGGAGGTAGGTGTCCACCTGCACTCAGCTACCAGATATAGTCCTGGGGTTGCCAGGGTTTACCCAGCCCAGGGTGGGAACAGAGGCAGCGCCCGGAGGCTGGGCTTGTTTTTTAGGAGACAGTGACCAGAGGCCTGTAGTGAGCTGAGCAGGGCCTGACAGAAATCCTATTAGAGACATGGGTCTAACCCAAAGATACGAGTGTGTGAGTGTACGAGTCTGTTAGCCTGAGAGGCAGCCTGTGGCGTGTGTGCCTGTGTGTGCTACCATGCGTCAGAGCCTGGGCTCGTGTGAGAGTTAGTTGTGTTGGTGTGTGGCAGTGCTGGGGAGCACACTCATGCAAGTGTGCGCTGTGAGTACTGGTGTGTGACTGTGTGCTGCCATGGGTGCTACTCTATGTGTTGGTGTGTCAGGTGGATATGAGTGCGAGAGGGCTGGTGTGGTGGCGTGTCCGGTCTGGGGGTGGATGTATAAGTGAGCCGGGGCTGTGGGAAGGAAAATGAAGGCAGAAGGCACGCTAGGGCCGAGCCCGGGCCCCCTGGCTTCCCGGAGAGGACAGGCGCCGGCATCTGGCTGCAGGAACACTGGGAGAAACTTCACCTTCCGTGTCCTCTGTCTCGCCTTCAGGTCTCTGGCCCCTCCCAAGGACCATGCCACAGCCCCACTGACCCAGGAGTAGGGGCCTGAGGGGTGAGTGGGAGGAATGGGGACTGAGGGCTCTCAGGGTCAGGAAATGGGGTAGGGGTGGCCTTTCTGGGCCCCACAATTCCTCACAGCCCCCTCCTCCCACAAGGACCCTGTTGCTAGGTAACAGATGGGGGAGCTGGAATGAGGCAGCTTGAAAGGCCAGAGGCTGGACCCATGACAGGAAATGGCCTTGATCCCCCTCTGCAGGGAAGCTCCAGGTGCAGGCACACAGCCCTCACACACACTTACACACAAACACACATTGATACATAGACATGCACACACACACACAGAGACACACACATACCCACAGAGACATGCACACCTACTTACACAGACCTACACACACAGATACACACACGCAGACAGGCACAAATACTCCCACTCAGGGCTATGCACACAGCTGTGACACACAGATACAGAGGCACCCACTCACACACACACACCTGCATGCACAGTCACACACACACAGGCACACACATGCACGCTCACACAGAAACACATGCATACGTAATACTCATACAGACATGAACACACAGTCATCACATGCAATAAACATACACACACAGACGCAGACATTCACAAAAGGCTGCACACACACACCAGCAAACTCACAAATACTCAGAGATACACACACAAGCACGCTGACGGAGTCACGGAAACCCAACACATTGAAGCACTAGGAGGCAAAAATATGTAAATGAACAGAGCAACATGGTGAAGCAGAAAACCAGCCCCATGGAGGAGACGCATACTCTCTCCACACACACTAAGGCAGCTGGGGGGGTGGACGCAACGGTGGCCCTGCCCCACCTTTATCCCTCACTAGGGAGGACACCCCCTACTCCAGGCCTGAGAGAGGAAGCTGCATGCCTGCGTGAGTGTGTGTGTGCAAGCGTGCGTGCATGTGTGCCTAGGGTGGCATATCTGGCAGGGGCCCCAAGTGAAGCATGCCCCCGTTCTGTAGCAGGGCACGTGGAATGGGCTGTGTGTTCTGCAAGAAGTTGGAGCTGGGGCCCAAGGAGGATGGTGGCCTGGAAGAGGACTTCAGGGGCTACGGGGCTGCAGACGGCTGTGGCCCTGCCCCTACTCAGGGCTGGCCTGCATCCTCCTTCGCCCATATCCCCAACTACAACAATTTCTCCCCTCAGCCCGCCAGCCCCGCCTTCCTCAATGGGGGCACCATCAGGGGCATCTCAGGTGAGTCCAATGGGCTGGAGTCAGGCACTGACTGGACCCTGGCAGGACCTAGGGGAAGGAGAGACTTGGACTTGCCCTTAGGAGCCTCCATTATGATTTGGGAGACACGGCCCTGCTTTTAGCGCACAGTCTGAGGGAGTATGTACAGCCCTACCCTCAGAAACCCCAGTCTGAGGGGGAGACATAGTTCTGTTCCCAGTCTGAGAGAAGGACTCTGATGACAGATGCCGGTGGGAAGTCTGCTTGGTCGGGGAGAGCAGAAGCGACTCCCCAGGGAGACCCCAAGGGGGGAGGGATGGGCTTGAAGGTGTGTGTCCTGAATCCATGTCCAAAGCAGAACTCCACTGGATTCCAAAGACCTTTGCGATCCAGTGCACTGCAGCAGTGGGGAGGCATAGTGCCTGGCTGTGGAACAGGACTCTGGGGGTGCAGCCCCTGTGGTGCCCCCTGATGAGCAGCCCTGACTCTGCAGGGACTGGGGTGACCCTGTTCATCGCCCTTTATGACTATGAGGCCCGAACAGAGGATGACCTCACCTTCGCCAAGGGCGAGAAGTTCCACATCCTGAACAACATGTAAGTGATCAGGCCACCAGCTCAGGACACGGCCTAAACTGGGAGCAGGACCCAGAGAGGAATCCTACCTGGTCCTTGTCCTCAGAAAACTCTAGCTTAGCTGGGGAGGGATACTTGACAATCACAAGCCGGGGTGGTTGCTACTATGTAGGGGAAGCCTGAGGAACTATGGGCACAGAAAGAATACCAGCCATGGTCTCCAGGGTAGTAGTGATCAGGGCAGGCTTTCTGGAAGTGATTTCTAAGCTGAGACTAGAAAAATGAATAGACATTGAAAGAAGGGGTGAGAAAAAAGGAAGAGAGAGCGAGAGAAAATGAAACTAGAGAGAATGAAACTAAATGATGACTTCTGGAAACCACCAAGTGGTTCAGTATAGGTGGGCCATAAAGTATGAAGTGCAGAACAGAGAGAGCAGATCCTGGAGAGGTGGGTGGGAACAGATTCTGCAGGGCTTTTTAAGCCATCTTGAGGAGTCTGGATTTTATCAAGAAGGAAATATAGCCATTGGAGGGGTTTTTTAATGGAGAAATGACCTAGTTAGCTGTCCACTGCCCGCCCAAACCCCAGCCCAGCTGAAGTGCCAGAAAAGAAAGCCAGGAGGCCCAGATGTCCCCAAACATGTTCCTTCAGCAGGGAGAAGCTCCCGGGGCAGCTGCAGTGGCTGGGGGCAGAACAGACGAAAGCCTTGGGGAGGGTGTGTACCCAAGGTGAGGGGTTGGCAGGGCCAGTGTCCACCTGATCCTCGGTGTGAGCCTGCCTGGCCCCATGGTGCCTCAGGGGCTGGGTTGCCAACGCCGCCGCCTGTTCTGTGCCTTCAGCGAGGGTGACTGGTGGGAGGCTCGGTCCCTCAGCTCTGGACAAGCTGGCTACATTCCCAGCAACTACGTGGCCCCTGTGGACTCCATCCAGGCTGAAGAGTAAGTAGGGGTTGTGGGGAGGCCAGCCTTACAGACAGGACCCTGGAGTCCAGACTCAAGGCCAAGTCTTGGCAAGTCACAGCTCCACTCTGAGCCTGTCTCCTTACCTATAATTCTGTAAGATCTTTGTGAGGATAAAAAGATAATAATGATGGGATTCCCTGGTGGCGCAGTGGTTGGGAGTCCGCCTGCCGATGCAAGGGACACGGGTTCGTGCCCCAGTCTGGGAGGATCCCACATGACACGGAGCGGCTGGGCCCGTGAGCCATGGCTGCTGAGCCTGCGCGTCCAGAGCCTGTGCTCCGCAACGCGAGAGGCCACAGCAGTGAGAGGCCCGCGCACCGCAAAAAAAAAAAAAAGATAATAATGATGACACTAAGAGTAGGTAAATATTATCTAGCACATACTGTGTTCTGGACACTATTCAAAGTGCTTCCTGTGCATTAGCAAAGTTAGAAACTAATAGAATCCTATTTTATAGATGAGGAAACTGAGGCACAGAGAAATTAAATATCCTGCCCAGTTCACATGGCTAGTAAGTAGGTGGAGCTGGTATTTGAACCCAGATAGTCTGGCTACATTTGCTAAGCATTATATATATATAGCCTCTTGGAGATAACAACAGTGTATGAACTTTAAAAAAAAATTGTAAGGTGCTGAACAGATGGAAGGGGGCATTACTTAGAATTAATTCTATTAAGGAATCAGGGAAGTATCATTTATGGAGTATCTTGATGTAATTGAGATACTGTGACAGATACTTTACCTATCTAGATTCGTTTAATTCTCACAGTAACACTATGGATATTATTATTGTCCCATTTTACAGATGAGGAAACTGAGGCTCATAAAAACTCTTTATCTAGCCTCACGTATACATACATATATGGGAAAAGTAAAGATTGGAGAGACGGCAGAATGGGAGTCACCAGGACTTGGTGACTGATTTGCCATTGGGCTATGGGGAGTGGGAGGAATCCAGGGTGACCCAAAACCTTCTTGAGGAACTGAGTGGGTGCCATTTGCTAAAGTGGGGAACACAGGAGCAGGTACAGATACATGAGCGAGCTTGTTAGGTTGAATTCGTGGAGAGGAACACCCACATGGAAGAGACGGCCAGCAATTAGATTAGGTTGTGCTTTGTATGCGAGGTGCCCAGCCCATGCCAAGCCATGCCCCTGAATTAGCCCAGAGGAAGGGGCATCTTATTCTCATTGGAACTAAGGCTCCTTAGTTTGTTTGCTGTGGCTCCTGCAGAGGGCACACCTGGGCTGGGTTGGCAGGACTCTTCAGAGTGGAGATGATAAATAGAGCTGCACAGGGGAGCGAAGGAAGAGGAGGGAGAAAGAGATTGGCCCTAGGACCCAACTTTGGAAAGAGCTGTTGGAAAACCAGGCCAGGCGAAGTCAGAACAGCCAAGAGGGTGGAGGGGAGGTTTCAGGAAACAAGAGAGGGAGTGTCAGAGGCTGCCACTGGATTTGGCAGTGGGGGTGACCTTGGTGAGAGATCTCTCCACGTGAAGTGGGGGTGGAGGCCAGACAGCAGAGCCTGGGAGGGAGTGGGAGGTGAGGAAGTAGAGACCCGAGTGTGAAGTGTGCTTTTTCAAGTGAAGGAAGGTGAGAGATATAGCAGAATGTTGATGGCAGGATAGAGCTTAGAACGGTTTCCTTTGGGGAAGGAAGAAATGTGGGCATATGTAGAGGCTGGTGGTGGGATGGAGAGGCTGCAGATGGGGGCTGGTCGGTGGGGGAGAGGTGTCCTTGAGCAGATGGGAGTGAACGGGGTCCTGAGCTCAAATGGGATGAGGCCGTCATCTGGAGAGGGTGGTAGGAGGCATGGAGGAGAGGCGAGGTGATGAAGCGGAAGATGAGAGGTTTGGGGGTCCACATCTCGGCGGCAGTGTTGTGAAGTTCAGAGAGGCACTCCAGGCAGTGTCATGGTTAAGAACAGTGTCGCGGTAAGAGCGCATGCCCTAGAGCAGACAGCTTGCGTTCCTATTCTGGCAGCACAGCTTAAGAGTCGAGTGGCAGTGGGTAAGTTGCTTAACCACTAGGCATTTCAATTTTCTCGTCTGCCTAATGGTTAATAATAGTACCTACTTCACAGTGTTGTTGTAAGAATTAACTGAATACGTATATGTATGACAGCAGAGCCTGACACAAAATACGTGCCGTTATGATTGTGTCAATTATTAAGGAAGCGGCTAAGGTCATGGGTGTGAGGGGGGGCAGAGCACTGATAAAACTTGGGAATGTGTTCTGTCTGCATAGTGCTTCAACGGTTTCTCCTTTCCCACCCTGCCTGTCCTCCTGGACACGCTATTCGCCAGTGCCTTCCCCTCTTCCCCAAACTGTGCATAGTACCCAGGTATGGATTGACAGTCCCAGAGTTCACTGAGACTGCCACCTCCCTTGATTTGAAAACTATGCTCCTTTTAATTCAGCCCAAGATGGCCACAGGCCAATTTAGTGATCAAATGACATCTGAGTCTTCTATGACACCTACGGTCACCTCGACTCTCCCAGTGTACTCTCACAGTTGGTTTCAGGCTACAGTTCAGTCCCAGGAAGAATATCCAAGAGACAGCAGGGATGCTTGAGGTCTGAGGTTGAAGTGGAGACTTAGAACAACATCCAGATTTAAGAGAGTGGAGGAAAAGCAGCAGTCAGAGCTGAGCAGGAGCAGTCAAAAAGAGGGGAAGAGGGAGTTCCCTGTCAGTCCAGTGGTTAGGGCTCGGCGCTTTCGCTGTCGTGGCTCGGGTTCAATCTCCGGTCAGGGAATTAAGATCCCACAAGCCACGAGGTGCGGCTGAGGGGGAAAAAAAAAGGAGGGGAAGAGAAGCAGGAAGGGGTGTCGTTCTGGACGACAAATGAGGAAAGGGTTTGAGATGTGTGCAGGGAGAGGAATCTGAGCGACTGCCTGCGATGGTGGGGAAAGAAGTAGGGTGGGTGGCAAAGGATTTCAGGTAGAGCTCATCAGCCAACCCTGTGGGCAGGTCAGTTCCCCTCTCTGTGCCTCAAGTTCCTCATCTGTAAATGAGCCTATGGAAGAAGCGGTAGTGAGATGGACCCTGATGAGGTCACTGATGACCGGGGTTCTAGCAATTTAAATTCAAGAGAAACCCAGAGAGTGGAGGGAAGTCTAACCTTTATTGGGCACCTTCTGTGTACCAGGCATTCGACATTCGCCTTCTCTGTGATCCTCCTAATCAGGTTGAATCTTGGCTAGTGAGGTGACTTTTCCCAGGAGGCTGAGTTGGGGGTTGAACTGGGTGTATCTGACTCTTGCCTGCCCTCCCAACAGGTGGTACTTTGGAAAGATCGGGAGGAAGGACGCAGAGAGGCAGCTGCTCTCCCTGGGGAACCCCCGGGGGGCCTTTCTCATTCGAGAGAGCGAGACCACCAAAGGTGGGGCTGTGCCACTGACCATATAACAGGGAAGCCTAGCCATTAGGGGGAGGCTAGGAGCAGTGGGGTGGGGCTTGGGACAGGGCCATGACTGGGACAGGGTTGGAGGGGCAGAGCTAAAACTGGGACTGGGTTCAGGGGATGTGGCCATCCAACCTCAGAGTCCCCAGCCTTTTGGGCCTCCCAGACTGGGGATGACGAGGAAAGCTGGCCCAAAGGTGACCCTTGCCCACAGGCGCCTACTCCCTGTCCATCCGGGATTGGGACCAGGCCAGAGGCGATCACGTGAAGCATTACAAGATCCGCAAGCTGGACACAGGTGGCTACTATATCACCACGAGGGCTCAGTTCGACTCGGTACAGGAGCTGGTGCAGCACTACCTTGGTGAGGACAGCCCTCAAGGCTGGCGTGTGCTTCAGATTCCTGAACCAATCCGCTGAGACTGAGGCCCAGATAAGGGGCTCCCAAAGCAGTAGTGGCTGGACCAGAACTGGAACCCAAATATCCGGGCTCCCAGCCCAAATCCTGCTCTGTAGGTTTCCAGAGGAAACTGAGGCATGAAGCTGTCCATGGCCAAAGGATGCCCTCTAATGTCTGAGCTGGGTAGGAGACTGAGTGGACCTGATTTGGAGGATGGGCTGTGGGGTTGAGGGGAAGGTTAGCATCCATGCCTGGTTTCTGCTTTGGTTGGTTAGGCCAAGGATAGGTCTGTGGAAGGGTGAGGGCTTCATGTCCACACCTTTGTCTGGAATTCCCAAATCCATTTCTACCTGTCAGGCCCAGCTGGAGGCCACCTCTTGTGCGAAGGCCCCCAATCCTTTCAGGGATCATCTCTCCCTCTGGTGCCACCTCCTTCCCCGGGCACCAACATGTTCACCTACTCAGTGGACCAGGTTGCCTTCTGCCCTGGCCTGTGACCTCAGCTATGTCCTAGTTCCTTATAACTGATCTTGGGGGCTGGGGTGGGGTGAAGAATGTGTGGGCCATTCTGGTCTGCCTTTGACCTCCAACCTCCCAATCCCCCACTGCCCAGAGGTGAACGATGGGCTGTGCCACCTGCTCACAGCGGCCTGCACCACCGTGAAGCCGCAGACGCTGGGCCTGGCCAAGGACGCCTGGGAGATCAGCCGCAGCTCCATCGCGCTCGAGCGGCGGCTGGGTACCGGCTGCTTCGGGGATGTGTGGCTGGGTACGGAGGTCCTGGGAGCGGGGTCCAGGGCCCGAGGCAGGGGCGAGGGCTTTGGGACGGCGGCGAGCCGGTCCTGACAAGCCTTTCCGCCCGACAGGCATGTGGAACGGCAGCACGAAGGTGGCGGTGAAGACGCTGAAGCCGGGCACCATGTCCCCGAAGGCCTTCCTGGCGGAGGCGCAGATCATGAAGCTGCTGCGCCATGACAAGCTGGTGCAGCTGTACGCAGTGGTGTCGCAGGAGCCCATCTACATCGTGACAGAATTCCTGTGCCACGGTGAGGGATGGGGTCATGATGCGGAGTCTGGGAGGGCGGGATTTGGGGCGAAGTTAAGGTGCGTGTCTCTGGGGGAGGAACTTGGGTGGCGACTTGGGATGGGGCGAGGAACAATGGGCAGGGTCCGAGTGTGGGGCCGGAATGAGTGAAAACACAGAAGTGCTGGGGTGGGGGCGGGGCCAAGTTAGACAGTGCGGGCCCGGGCTGGGGGCGGAGCCTTTACCTGGGGGCGGAGCCTCGTGGGTGGTCAGCTGGTGGGTGGAGCTTGGGCGAGTGAAGGCGGGATCTGTGATGAGGAAGGATCTGGTGCAGAGTCTTAGTGGGGCTTGTCTACGGAGGATGGAGGAAGAGAAGAAACGAGAGGTGCGCAGAATCAGGGTGTCTGTGAGAGTAGGGCCTGGGTGAGATCTGTGAGGGGTTGAGGCACCTGGCAAAATCCTGATTGGGGGCGGATCTAGGGTGAGAGGCCTGGGAGCAAGGGGTAGGGTGAAACTATGTGAGAGGAGTCATGGAGAGGGGCGAGGCCAAGCGAGAGAAGGCAAGCCTGGAGCTGCGAGTAGCGTCTTGACGCTGATTTTTTGAGTTCTCCTCCCCAGGTAGCTTGCTGGAGTTCCTCAAGGACCAGGAGGGCCGGGGTTTGAGGCTGCCCCAACTGGTGGACATGGCAGCACAGGTGAACTGGGACAACAGCCTTTATCTCTCAGAGCCCCTCCTATTATTTTCCACAAATCCCTGTGTCCTCAAATGCCTAGCCTACCTCTGGAAGTGCAGCCCCAGCCCCTGGATCATCTGTGCGACCTGAGGCAGGGCACTGCCCCTCTCTTTGAGCCCCAGTCTGGAAAGTGGGTTTTTCAAATGATCCCTCATGCAAACCTCGGTGTTCCCATCTCTCTATACCTTCGCCCCCAGGTAGCTGAGGGCATGGCCTACATGGAGCGCATGAACTACATCCACCGAGACCTGAGGGCAGCCAACATCCTTGTGGGGGAGCGGCTGCTGTGCAAGATTGCTGACTTTGGGCTGGCCCGTCTCATCGAGGATGATGAATACAACCCCCAGCAAGGTGCCCTGCCTCACCCCACCTTCCAAGAGCTCCCCAGTGTACCAAGGGGCTGCCATGGGGCCCCACCTTCCCGCAGACCATCCGGGACATTCCCTCTCTGATGTAGTGTAAGAGGCAACTCTGGGTTCAAACCCAGCTCCTCCACTTACCAACCATGTGGCCTTGGGCAAGTCACCTAACTTCTCTGGGAACTGTCTTTTCTCACAATAAAATTCTCACTGAAAATATTCAGACAACAGTAAGTCAACAGATATTTATCAAGCACCTACTATGTGCAAGGCACTGCTATAAATCTCAAGTGAAAGACCATAGAGTGTAATAGGGAAAATGCTGTAGCCAGGATGCCTGGGTATGAATCCTAGACACTTACAAGCTGTGTGATTTGGGCAAGTTACTAACTACTCAGTGCCACCTTTTCCTCTTCTGCACAATCGGGATAACAATAGTAATAGTAAAAAATAATAATAAAACTCACAGGGCTTTCATGAAAGTTAATTGAATTAATGCACGTAAATCACTTAAAATGGTGCCTGGCACATGGTAAAGGCTATACAAGTGTTAGCTATTATTATGATGAGAATTATTACAATGTTTGTAAAGTGCCCGATACTATACTAGACACAGTAACAAGTGCTGGCTAGGTACCAGGTCTTTTCTGTTATGCCCAGAGACCTCTGTGCTTAGGGTCCCCAGTCCTAAAGATGCCATTCTCTTAATCCAGCTGTTCCCAGGGATTTCTGCACTAACTTTCCCTTCTCCCCCAATCTCCCCAGGGACCAAGTTCCCCATCAAGTGGACAGCCCCAGAGGCTGCCCTCTTTGGCAGATTCACCATCAAGTCAGATGTGTGGTCCTTTGGGATCCTGCTCACTGAACTCATCACCAAGGGCCGAGTCCCCTACGCAGGTTTGCTGGGAGGTGGGGAGGTGGAAGGGTGCTCATGGGAAGGGCTTCTTCCTGGTTGCCTCTTCAGGAGGGGCTAAGCCCCCTGACTGACAGAGCCCCACCCTCCAGGCATGAATAAACGGGAAGTGCTGGAACAGGTGGAGCATGGCTACCACATGCCGTGCCCCCCAGGCTGCCCAGCATCCCTGTACGAGGTCATGGAACACACCTGGCGTCTGGACCCGGAGGAAAGGCCTACCTTCGAGTACCTGCAGTCCTTCCTGGAGGATTACTTCACCTCCACAGAACCCCAGTACCAGCCTGGGGATGAGACATAGCCTGTTCGGGCATCAACCACCTCTCTGGGGGTGCACACCAGCCCTCCCAGTTGCCAGGGCTCTAGTCCCAAAGCCCCGCAGGCCTAGAACCCTATAGAGTCCTAGCATGTCAGAGCAAGCAAGTTGCTTTTGGCGTCATCTAGGGCAACCCATTCATTTTAAAGATGAGGCAAATCAAGGCTCGGAGATAATCCCTCACCAATTCTGGCCCCAAGCTCTATTTCTCCCTTTCCCACTTCTGCCCCTGCATGCCTCTAGTCTTCCTGTCTGCACTCCCCCCACAAAAGAAATGCTCAGATCTTGTCTAGTTATTTATAAAACTGTATATCCTTTCCCTCACTTATCTCCTGTCCCTGCTTTCCTACCCTGTCATCCCACCCTGGTCCTGGCCCCCAGAATTCACCTCCTACTCAATTCTCTCATGTCTGTGAGTTACAAAGAGAGGGAAAGACTTTGCCGGATCCCTTTCCCGCTGGGTGGATTCTGTAGTCCAGGACTGAGGTCCAAGCCCAGGGTGAAGGAGAGTGTTGCTGGGGCTCATCCCCTCTCTGAATCATGTGTGTGTTTACTGATTTTGTAAATAAGAAAAGTGACAGTGTGAATCCTTGAGCCGTGAAAATCCCTTCCTGTGGGAGGGATGGTGGTCGGTGGGAGGTGAGTGGGGTTGCTTTGGCCACTGGGAGGCAGGGGAGGTAAGAGAGCGCCCTAATGCCTACTAAGCACAGGGCACCCAAGGTGTGTTCTAGGATACCCCAAAGTCCTGAAGTTCATCCCCATGTGAGTTTAGGGCGAGTGGAGAGATGGATATAGAAGACAGGTAACTGCAGATCAAAACATCTCCTTCATTACTGATGTGGCTTTCAATCTGCATGCAGTGGTTTTGCTAATTCTTTACTTGATTTCAGCAGATTTACTGTTCATCACAGGCACCACAGAAGACCCTCAGGCCTCCCCCAGTGGGGCAGGGGGAAGACCGCAGTGGACCCTCTGCAGCTCCCCAGAAGGGACAAGGGGTGGGTGGGGAGAGGCCTGAGAGTCTAGCTCATTGGATTTCACTTGGGGCAACTGTGCCCCCAGGGGGCTTCTGGAGAGGTTTGGAGGCAGTTTTGTTAGTCACAATGACTGGGGGCTCCTACTGGCATGTAGTGGACAGGGAGGGGGGTGCTTAACAGCCTGCCATGTACCCTGCAATGAAGATTTGTTCCCCCGCGCCCGGCTCCCCCTTTGAGAGACTCCAACAGCTGATGTGCCTCCGGGTGGAAACAAGATGAACAGGGAGGGCTTCCCTGGTGGCGCAGTGGTTGAGAGTCCGCCTGCGGATGCAGGGGACGCGGGTTCGTGCCCCGGTCTGGGAAGATCCCACATGCCGCGGAGCAGCTGGGCCCGTGAGCCATGGCCGCTGAGCCTGCGCGTCCGGAGCCTGTGCTCCGCAACGGGAGAGGCCACAACAGTGAGAGGCCCGCGTACCGCAAAAAAAAAAAAAAGACAAACAGGGAATAAGGATTCCCACCTCTCCCATTAGGAAGTTGTTGACCCCTGACTTATTAAGGGAATGGCCAGGGGAAAGAGGCTGAGGGCTGGGAATCACTGCTATGCTTGGCAGACAATGACTAAGCATTGACTCTGTGAAGGGCCCTTTGCTAGGCAGGACCCTGGAAACACAGAAATGAACAAGACCTGTCCCTGTCCTAGAAGAGTTCACAGTCAGACTGGGGAGAAATAATAGTAATAATAACTCATTTATTAAGTGTCAGCTGAATGCCAGGTGTGTTTACATCCATCTTTTCATTTAACCCATTCCTGAATCTGGTTCTGTGATTAGCCCCCTCCCCCATTTACAGATGAGGAAACTGAGGCCCAGGGGTTACATGATGTACCAAGGTCACACAGATATACGTGACAGAGCTGGGATTTGAACCCAGGTCTCACACCAAGGCCCATGATCTTTCTACCAGACCTTGCTGCCTCTGGGCCTTGGGAAAAGATCCTATCTGTCCCAGGTGGATGTCTGGGTGATCCTTCTCTCTCGAAATATTGGTAGAAGGAGTCCCTGGAAACCCCCCAAGCTGAGTGAGTTAAAGGAAAGTGGATGAGGTGGCCAGTGCAGATGGAGCATTCCCTGTGCTCAGCCCTGTGCTGGGGATGGCTGAACAGGAGCGATAAGATGGGTAGAGGCCAAGTGGCTGCTTAGAGAAGTGGTCACAGGAGTGGGAGCCTTAGCTCTATACATTCCTACTCTCAGGGGCCAAGGCTTCCAGAAGGCCATGGTCTCTGGCCAACCAAACTCACAAGAGCCTGATGTATAAACCAGAAGCCTAGTGTTTCCACCTGCCATGGAGTAAGCAGATAAGAGCACAGTTCTGGAGCTGTAGTGTAGTATTGTGAATCTTGCCTCTACTACTTGCTAGCTGTGCCATTTAGTGCAAGCTATTAATCTCTCCAAGCCTCAATTTCTTCATCTTTGAAATGGAAATAAATGCACAATACATGTTAGCTGTCTTTGTCACTACCGCTTACAAATAATTTACTCTATGCCAGACATCCTACTAAGTGCATGCAGCCTACTAAGTGCACAGAGCCCTATAAGGTGAGGGCTATTATATCTTGATTTTACTAATAAGGAAACTGAAGCGCAGTGAAGTAAATAGATTATAGGACATAATGGCAGAGCAGGGGCTTGAACCAGGTCCTCTGACTCCAAAATCAGTGCTCTCAGTATCTAGAGTCTTTTCCTGGGACCAGACTATTCCTGTCTGCCCAAAGGGGCTCTGCCTGGCACCTGGATGTCCATTTAGTTTAAATGGAGGCCCAGCAGGGCAGTGAGCCACCTGGAGTCCACCAGGCCCCCATGACTCCTCAGCAGAGACCAGAGCCACCTGAGCCTGGAATCCCTATGTCTACTGGTTCCCTGTCCCTCCCTCTGGTGCAGCCGAATGAATTCTCCCTTGCACCCCCTTTTCTGTGCATCCTTCTGTTCCCTTCAGATAGAGCACAATGCAATTGATTAGGCCTCTGTTTTCTCAATTTCAATCACATCCTCGCCCTGCCTCCCTGAGATTACAGGCGGGTCACCTTGATTGCAGTTTCCACCGTTCACAAAACCCTTCAGTCATTTACAAAACCATCTCTCGCCTCATTCACTCCCCCACCTGGTTCTTCTCTTCTGTGATGCATGATTTTACTGGCTTAAGACTCAGAGGGCAATTTTATTTCCAAGTTCATGGTGGGGGAGGAGGACACCTAATTGACTAATGCTGGATGTTTCACATGCCTCGTCTAATTTGAGCCTCGCCATGAGGCAGTGCAGAAGTATGATTATTCCCGTTTTACAAAAGTGGAAACAAAGACTCTGAAAGACTACAATGCTTGCTCAAGGTCATCCAGCTGGATGATAGAGTCAGGATTTGAACGCAGGTTTGTGTGACTTCAAAGTCTTATGCATCCCTCTGTGTCACATTGCCTTATTTGATGGAGCAGCATGAGAAAGTATAATACTAAACCAGAGTCAGGGCCAGGGAGGATAGGGTGTGGGGGTAGCCCCATATGTGCTGAGGATTGTTTTCATAAAAGAGCCAAGTCATTTATTAATTTCACACACATCCACTGATGTCTCCTGTAGGCTGGTCCTGTCCAGGGGACAGAACAGTAAACAATTACAACACTTAGGGGCAGGTCAGTCTGGAGGCTAAGGGAGACTTCTTGGAGGAGGTGAAAGAAAAGTCTGCTTGATGAAGCAGCCAGAGGGTGAGATCATCTCCCACTGAGGGAATGGCATGTGCAAAGGTCCAGAGGTATGGGAGAGCAAGGCCAAGTCAGGCAAGAGCAAATAATTATGTATGGGAGGGTTGAGGGAAAAGATGAGGCATATAAGAAGATGGTTGGAAGGTCAGAGGCAAGAGGTAGGAGGGTCAGAAAACCAAGGGTTATGGTCCCTGAGTTGTGGAGAAAAGTCAGAGAGAAAAAAATCTCGGTGCCCCAGGACCTATTGGGATGAGTCTATTCTGGATCCCACTGCTCCAGTTTTGAGCTGGGTGGACCCACTATCCACTCCAGGAGTTCTCTCCCAGGTACAGTATCAAAGCCTCCGTTCTACCCGGCCATCCACATCCATTACACCACACACACACACACACACACACACACACACACACACACACACACACACACACACACACACCCTGCATGGTTTTGCAGTGGTGTCCATTCTCCCTCTAGTGGTCACTCTGGGCACTACATCCAAAACTTTCCTCCGAAGACAGGAGGACCAAGGTCCCTTCAGAGCCTCCCAATCCATCAGAATGGGAGACACAGTAATTCAGTACAGTACCTGTTCTCAGAAATCTCACAATTTAATGATAGTGAGGGTGAAGGGGACAGGCACAGGCAGAAGACATAGGAGAACAGGGGAGGGTCTTAACTCAATTGGGCAGGGGGAAGTCTTCTCAGTGGAGGTGTTGCTTCACCATCGGAGACCTGAAAAGGGAGTGAAAGTTTGCTAGCAAGAAAGAAGCAAGCAAGAGAGGGGCATTCCAGACTTGACAGAATTAAGTAGCTCAGAGGCAGTAAATGGGACCGTGCAGAGAGTTACAATTAAGTAGGTGTGATAGGAGTGAAAAAGGAGTGGCTAAAGATGAAGATGACAAGGTAGGCAGGGGGTCTTGTCTGCCATTGCCCTCGGGCTAGGATTCCAAACCTTGGGCCATGGAAGCCACTGAAGGGTTTTGAGCAGGGTAATAACAGAGTCAGATTCACTTTCCAGAAGGAACCCCGTGGTGACCAACACGGAGGAAGGATGGGAGGGGAAGAGGTGGGAAAGGAACACCCTTCTTGGACACAAAGAACCACACCAGGTCACACTCATAGGAGAACACAGAGCTTGGGGCCGGCCTGTGAACCAGACATATCAACACACATGATGACACCTACAGACATGTCAGTGGGACCCCAGGCTGAGCACCCAGACAAACAAACACATACTGACATTCGTTCAGACATATAACTCAGGTCCTCGAGCCAAAAGGAAACAAAGGACACACATTTACCCCCAGACCCAGGCTGACAGTGAGAACCATGCACGCCCTGATGGACACAGGAATTCACATACACACACACACACACACACACACACACACACACACACACACACACACGCAGTGTGGCTGTCAAGGGCTCTACCCTGCCCCCCTCTCTGTCCCCCTGGGTCCCTCACCACCTCGGGCAGGAACAAAGCTGACCTTTGCCCTCTGGCCTCTGGCCTCTCCTCCCACACCCCCTGCCCAGAGGGAGGAGCCGTTTGAAGTCTGGGCTGCAGCTGGGGTTTCCTGTTGCCTGGAGGAATGTGGGAGGACTTTCAGGGAGGGGCGAGTGCAGGGAGGCTAGCCCATGAGGAGGGATAATGGGGACCTGGGGGCCTTGGTTCCCACTGTACCACAGTGAAGGAGGGCTTCCTGCTTCCATGGTCTCTTGGGCCTCAGCTCTGAGCCGTTCCCATCCAGAGGAGGGGAAAACCAAGGCCATAATGACTCCAGTCCAACGGGCCTCTTGTTCCTGGATCAGTAGCTCAATGGCTCAGGACAGGCCCTCAACCTCTTTTGGCCCAGTTTCTCCTTCTGTGGACTG